GAATCAGAATGCAGCCCGTGTCAAGGAACCAGCATAGTGCGTACACCTGCGATTGAACTTCTGCCGTGTTCATGTCTGACTCTGGTGCGCCAGGCACTGTGACATAAATGGGTAGTCGACGGAAAAGGGAAGGAAGAACACTGAACCCACCCACCGTCCCACCGACATTTGAACGTCGTGTGAAGGGCGCCGCTGACAGCCACAGCTATTCTATGATGGAAACCGTCTTCTGCAAGCCAATAATATTGATGCTATAAGAAGCTGGACAGATGCAATCGTTGAATTTCATCTTCACACCCAGGCTGCCAGTGGCAGCGGAGACGAACTGTCGGACAGATCTCAGGCTCAACTAATGTTTGCAAGCATCTGCTACCTATATAAAATGCACGGCACACAGTACAGAAATAAATTTGAAGAGACATCTGCGAAGCTGGTTCGAGATTCGACTCCCGAACACAAACAAAAAAAAAAAGTTCGGACGAAAAATGCAAATGCTCGGACACCACCACCCAAACCAGTCCCTTGCAACCGCGCGTGGAAATCTATATTCGGCGTAGTCGTGATTACATTGATAAATTTTGTGATCGAGGGATCCAAAACTTCAGTTCTCGTGTTCTTCCTCTTCCACTGTTTTGGCTGAGGGTAACGTCCATGCCTGCCACACCTGCGCTAAGAGTGGTAGAACTTGGATGACAGTGCCCAAAGAGAGTGGTGCTCTGTTGGGGATGTGGCCAAGGATCGCAGGCACGTATACTATGAAGTGAAGAACTCGGTGCGCGAGCAACAACCATACGGTGACTTTGTACATCCCTCCAAATGTTCGTGCACGGTGGTTCATGAGTAATTGTAGAACCTCCGACATGCAATCAGCTGCAGTGGCACTGGCAAAGAAGATATTATCAGTCGTACGCGCTATCGCTTCAGGATCTGGCGGTAAAGGGGATGGAATGAGGGTGCGCTCGAAAGGATCGGCCAAGAAGAGGCACATTGCCAAGATGAGCATGGACTAAAAAAACGGTAGGTCATGAGCTTTCTTCCGCTACAGTGAGGGCTGAACTGACCGTTCCAATGAATCTCCAACTAGACTTGGCATCTATACGAGAACTTGCACGCTCCGTATGAGTGGCATGCGCAAAGGTGGCGGGCAGCCGTGTGAATCCGCGCCAGCAAAATTCCATCCGAGTAATGGCAAATAGAGGAATCACCGAGAGAAAAATGCCGAAACAGCCTTGCACTATGTTCTCCACCGAAACAGAGGAACTAAACATCATCTTCACTGTCCAGGCAAGGAAACTTGCAATGGAAAGCCACTGTCCCCGGATGGAAATTCCAACGGTCGATGTAAGTCTCCAGTAGTACACAATGTGCAGAAGGGGCGCGGACAGGTCGGATAGGGCGCTATCGTCAGGGAGTGTCGATAAAATGCTAAACCAAGCACTAAGATAACGTACCCAAGAGTGTACGCAACCAGTCTCCGTCTGGGGTGCGAATCGACATGGAATCTGTGGGCACGAAGTGTATCTGCATCATAGACGTAGAATTATCAATACAGAAAGCCAAAGAGAAACAGGCTCACTCTGGTGCTCAAACTGAACCTGTGCCTCGATTCGTTCCAGTTCGCTCTGACTGGCATTTATTGCAGGAGCAACTGCTGCCAAATCACTGAAAAGCATCTTGCGGGGGGTTCGCCCAGAGAAAGAAATGTGCCACGTCACTTTCATCGTGTCTGATTTGGCCATCCGTCACAGCAGTGTGGATTTGTTGCTATATGACGTACCGTTCAGGAGAGATGGCTCGAGGACAGGTAAATTTGTAGAGTTGTAAGTTGCCTGGGCACTGCAATTTACGCGGTTGACCGGAACAGGTATGTAATCCTATTGCTGCATGAGGAGATATGAGATGACAAGAGTTCGCAACGACATACGAGAGGCCCTGCTGCATTGGGAGCTGCAGACAGGAAAGGTGCATATGCCCATTCAGTTTCCCCGTGATGCGAATCAGAAAACTCCAGACGCGTCTCCATGGGGCCCACTTCTTCATAAGTGCGCGAGCAGACTGAGCGATGGGGCAAGGCTTTTTCTGGATTGTATCCTAGTCCGCACTTGGAACTATACATTGAAAAGAGTCGTTCCATATGACAGAGGCCGCTCACCGAGGTCCTTCGCAGTTTATCGTGAACGGTGTTGTATGCCTCCAAATTGAATAAATGTTGCTCGTTGAGTATCCGCAGGTGAAGTCTGTAGATGAACAATTGAAATGGAGAGCGATGAAGGATTGAGGTACTCACCGTGATGTTACGTGAGGATGCCGCCTTGCGGTTGAGCCCCAGGGTTGATTGTGTGCCGGCGTAGTATTAGTGAAGCCAGCGGCGTGGAGCATCACATCGCAGTAGCTCATAATGGGGTGGAAATCGATCATAGGGACAGAAAGCGAAAATGAGTCAACAGCCCTATCAATCAGCGATTTCTGTTCGGTAGGTCTAGGCATATGTAGATAGGGTGTTGCGGAATTTACAGAAAGCGCAATGCTTACGATGCAGGTCGGGAACGCCACTGAGTTTCCAACACGTAGTCTGGCATCCATGAAGAGAAATTTCGAAGGTGATCCATCTTCACGGATGGCAAAACGACGAAGGATGCGCGCAGATGTTCTGCGGTGAGGTTCTGCTCCAAGCTGGTGCGCCAAGTCAATATCTCTGGTGCCTGATAATGGAGGAAACTCTCACAAAACCCCAAGTGGAAATTCCAATGGAATTTCCGCTGTAAGACCCTTGTCGGATAAGATGGCATCTTGGAAGATAACTCCGGAATACAGTGCAGTTTCGAAGATGTCATCTTGTGCCCTAGTGGGCCTGACTCCCTCGTCAGACCACACTGACAGCTGGCCGATGTTGGATATATGGATTTTCCTGTGGATATGGGTGTCTTTCGAGTCTTCCACCAGCTCACTCGCTGCATTTGGGTACCGATCCGCCTGATAGGCCGCCTGCTGTGAGGCATTTCCACGCAACCACACAGTGGCAATAATGTCGAACCTGTCGTCTCCAGAAACGAGTGGTCTCACGACAGCGCTGCGGTTGGTGACTTGATCCCAAGTTTGGTTCTGATAGAGAGCCAGGTGCGGCGGCTTCAATTTGTCCATAAACTGCAGACCAATCTTTACAGCAACCCACACGGCCAGGAGGATGCCCGATGCCCCGAAGACAACCAGCACGGCGCGCAGCCACCCCAAAGAGCTGACGGGCTTGGGCTTTCGTCGTTGAGGTCCGGGATCAGGAGCCAGTTGCTTTTCCATGTCGAGATGAGATCAGTGGGCGACACGTCCCTTCTTATATAAGTATAGGCAGTGCACAGCTTCGTTAAATAACGAAACGATCCAGCACAGCAATGGTAGGTACTACTAGCTTAGGTAGGTAAAAATACACGGCCGCGGCCGCAGTGACGGCACGGTCCCGGCGCTTAGTAGGAACACCGTTTTTAGAAGTTTCCCGGCGTTACACGGACTACGTGAGCTGTTCTGCGTCGCCTTAGCCGAACTCACGGCTTAGCCTTTCGGCTTGCCGTCGTAGAACCAAAAGAACATGTAGTAGTGTTAGGATGGAACTGTAAAAGCGGCTGATGATCATGGATGTTGAGATGGATACGAATTTGATGGTGGGATTCTGCGCGAACAGCCTTCGCTTCCAAGGGGATTCACTGATAACTTCAAGTGATAAGAGGACGCCGACGGAGCGGAGACGCACAAGGGCATGCGGGGGGTAGACGGGACGTTGTTTATCCGTGTCGCGCTATTGACTGGACTGGGGTGGGTAGCGGACGGAGACAAGGAGCGGTTCTGGGATTTGAGTGGAGCTAAGCTTAGTCGCGATCGATCGCGCGATCGGCTGGAGGAGGCCTGGGTCAACGGGCATACCTAGTAGCTCCAGAGTCCAAATTTGGCACTGGCATCCCTGTGATTGTATACATGTACATGCCACAAGCGTGTCGTGCGCCGTTCCCTCAAATAACAGTCGCAGAGTCATCGCTTACCATTCAGCCATTTGCCGCAGTGTCTCAGAGCCGCGAAATCCAGTCCCGGATCGCTTTCAAGTTGCAGCCAGGTACCAAGTACCAGCGTCCGAATACATCGGTCCGTGCGCTATTTTGACACCTTCCTGCCTTGATCTCAATCGCCTTTTTGTATGCCGCGCCCACCCACAAGTCAATATTTCAGTGGGAGGACCCGTATACGACGCACTGCCATCGAGCCGTTCTCGCCACCATGTTATCGTTTACATTTGTCGCCGCTGTCGTTTCCGCGCAGACGCTGTGGTGGTAAGAAGCAAGTGCGGAATAGACGCCCAACATGTGACGCGTTGCTTGACAACATGTCAATTTCTACGACGGCCATCAGCGATCCCGAGCCGGCCGGAGTCATTCGATTTCGCCGTGTTTTCGCCAACAGGTGACTGAGGACAGTCACTTTTTCAGTCGAGAGGAGATGTTGAGTAGGGCTGCTTGCTGACCACGAAAACCACCTCGTATTATTACGGTAACTTGCCGTCACATGCACCAACGCTAGAACATCCGTGTCAAAAGTTTCTGTCCGCCACAGTCTGCCTTGTGCGGCTTTTAACTATTCATTAAGTATCTTCTACACCAAAGTTTCCTCACACAACGGAGAAGTTTGGGCTCCCTGTTTTGTCCCCGGTGTCTCGTATGTATACCGCAGTCCCTCGTTACGCTCGCTCTCGTCCTGTTCCTCGCCGTTTACACTTCGTCTATGTATTGTCCCCGCTGTTGCACTGTCTCGCCGACCTCTCAAAACCCCACATCACCGCTTCTGAGCATTACATACTCCCGATCGCGAGCCTGCACATGTCTGGAACCACTCGCACTTTCAGAATCAGAGCTGTACGGCCTCTGTTAGTTTTTATCTCATCAGCTGTCACTCTGAGACGTGCCGTTGGGCGTAATGGATACAATAGAGCTGACCTCAGAAGTTTGAGGGGAAAAAAAAACTTCCGGTACGGGGAATCGAACCCCGAGCTCCCGCGCACACTGCATTCAGCAACCCATGAAAGGCGGAAATGTTGAAACCATTACACCATACCGGAGTCGAAGTGCCTATAAAATGATCATAAAAGGTTTCGACCACTTCAAATATTCAATGGTGGATTCTTGAAGGATTTACATCATTTCTGAGAGTTGAAACACTTCAGATTAGCGTGGAGAACTGCGAGAATCCCAACGGAGTCCTCATTCACGACGTGGCCCTCTCGTTCGTCCCGGTCGAGAGCTCTACGCCGTCCAGCACTGCGACGAGCCGACGCCGTCCACGGTGTCTCTCTCTCACTACGCGCAAATGCCGAGTCCGAGGCGCGGTGTGCCTCGACCTCTGCCACCCATTCAGCAGACGCTAACTGTGAGAAGCACACGTCGCTGGGGGCTCAGTCAGACTATAATTTTTCATAGAATTACGTACTAATAGTCGGTTTGTTTTGCCATATGAAGTCGTCACGTGCCACATCTTTAAAATCCGGTTGACTTCCGACCGTCTACTTTGAAGAGTCAAGCTCTTTAGTGTGCAATTCAAGAGAAAGCGATTCCTTGTAGAGCTTCTATGAATAAGCTGGCAAAAAGAAGGCGATGTACTATTCGGCGTGCCGGCCACGACGGATCACCGACAGGTGTCGAGGCACATCGGTGCTGCTCCGCGTTCGATGGGCAAGGCTGCAGGTGAGAGTTTGTAATCCATCCTCATTTCGAGTACTCCTTTTCTCTATGAGAATCAAAGCCAGAGCCTTCGGCGTATTTTTTCCGAAGGGTCACTGCACCGGAGAGAAGCACGTTGATCCGTTTTCGGCAATCATCTGGTATCCATCACCATGTCAATGTGGCGACTCTATGCGCCTCACGTAAATCATTTTCGGCCATGCAACGCCGTCAACCTTCAGTATAAATCGGCGAGTCAGTCGGTTCGAGTACATCTTTTTCTCTTTCTTCTCCCATCGTCCGACTCATGATCTCCACTACTCTCGTCGCCCTCTCGGCATTCATTCTCTTTGCCTCGGCCGAACAGATCCAGAGCCGCAATCCTGCGTGTATGGCCTTTCTTCGCTGTCCATTTCAATGAGCTAACACATGCTGTCTCTCAGTTGCCAACGCAGGAATCCAGGGCTGCATCAGCACAGGCGAAAACGCAGACGGCGCACCCGTCGTAATCCACAACTGCAACACGGAAGACCTCACGCACCAAGATTGGACCGCCACCTTTGCCTTCCGCGGGGACACCGCACCCAGCCCAATAAAGATATTTGGCGACAAAGTACGATAGCAGGCTCCCGGCTTGGGTTCTCTCGGATCCCCATGACGCTGATTTGCCGCTCAGTGCATCGACGTGACCAACGGAGTCAATGCCCTCGGCACTAAACTCCAGATATGGACGTGCACGGGCGGACCCAACCAGCAGTGGGTCAACACTTTGGACAGCACCTTCCAATGGAGCGGAACGGACAAGTGCATCGACCTCACTGATGGAAAGATTGCGGATGGCACGCCGCTGCAACTTTACACTTGCGGTAGTTCCAACAATAACCAGAAATGGGGTGGCGCGCCCAATCCGGATAACGGGGGGTGCGTCCCTAGCGCTGCGCCCTTTGTCGAGGAAGTTAATGTTTGTCCGCAGCCCTCAAATCATTTTGGGCGGTAACAGTGAGTATCGTTTGAAATTGGATTCTGAACCTTGACTGATTTCGTCGGCCCAGCTACCAACCAACCCGAGCCGAGTACGCACAATGGAAATTAAACTTTATTTTGTCCATTGCTCACCGCTGTCCTCGCAGTCCGCGGCCAACCCTTCTGCGTCGGCGCCGCCTCCAACGCCGACGGCGCGCCCGTCGTGCTCCTCGGCTGCGGCGTCGGCAACGCCGGCCCCAACTTCCCCAACGGCAACTTCACATGGGACGCGCCCTTCGCGCCGCTGACCGGCACCATCAAGACGTTCGACAACAAGTGCCTCGACGTGACGAACGGGGACGACGCCGACGGCGTCAAGCTCCAGATCTGGACGTGCGCGGCGGGGAACACGAACCAGCAGTTCACGATCCACCAGCAGACGATCGAGTGGAAGGGGACGGGCAAGTGTCTTGACTTGACGAACGGGAACTCCACCATTGGGAACCCGGTGCGCCGTTTTTTTTTTGGTTTGAATCACAAGGACGTGCGTATTGAAACTTGCTTTTGTAGATCCAGATCTGGGATTGCATCGCCGGCAATACTAATCAGGTGTGGCAACTCGATCCCGTCGAGGTCTAACTAGGATGGGCTCGTATTGGTTCGGACATTGTGAGGGACCGTACACACTGCGAACCTTGCATTTCCTGTCACAGTCATTTATAAATACCGAACAATCAATCGGACATTATAAAGTTACAGTCTGTCTGTCCATAAGAAGCAGCGTTAATGCAGCGTTAATACCTCTCATCCGACTCGGAGTAACTCGAAGTGCTTTCAAGTTCATCATTACAGTGCCAGTATTGTGACTCTACCGCAGCCGATAACTATCGTTGCGCCACACGAGTTTTATCTGTGCACTCTTTCCGACAGATAGTACGCTCCAGTAATTTATTGTAAAGTGGGGGTCGGCTCGTTTTATAGTTGGCTAGGCATGTCCGTTGGAAACAGGGGGTGACACAAAACGTGGCGTCCAACCACGGCATCACTTGGCCGACCCCAAGAACAACCGTTGCCCGCATTTTTAAAACCGGTCACACAGTCTCGCAGTCCGAGTTGTGTAAGTAACAGCGTGGAAGATCCTTGCAACATTTTGCTTTGCTGGTTTGCAGAATGTTGTTCGAGTTGTTCAGGTTGAAGCTACGTTTACAAAGGCTAGCGCGACAGATCTAGAAGCCTGTACATGCCGGGTTTGTGCCGAGTTTCAAGGACACGGCGCCGGAATGGACCTTGGCGATCACCCTAATGCCGAATGCGGACGGCACCACCGGCAAGTCACACACCCAACAAAGGAGGAGCCACTCGACCTTAAGAGTCGAGGTGGCACAAACCCGTTACCTGTTCTCTTCGAAACCACTCCCAGTCCGACGACGATGCTGTCCACACATCCCTTCGACCCATTTCAGCAGGCCGGTGCTGCGGCTCGAGATCCAAAGCCCTTCTCCGACGTGGATGCTGGGTACATCGAGGAGGCTGCGCTGCTCGACGCAATGCGAGCCCTCAGAACACGTGCCGAAGCACACGTCGTGAAAGCGAGCAGGACGAAGTTCACGACGAACACGACTGCGTTTATACGCGACGTCGTGCAGCGCCTGCCCACAGACTCTGACGGGATTTTCGAGGCCAGGTGCGCTGAGCATTGCAGAAGTGTATATGGAATATCCATCTCTTTGTAGACGTGGAATTTTGGATGCCCTGCTGAATGACCCGACGAATGGGCAGTCCTCCGAGGTCATGATTCAGACTGGGGAACAGCGTACGAGTGCGGGCATCGGATCACCTTATGCGGACGCTTCCCTGGCTCATGGCTATCCTGGTGATGAGTCTGGCGATACTGATAGCAACTGGCAGAGTGTACAGCATGCGCATCTTGCTGGCAAGCTCAACGGCTGGAACGGCGAAGATACACACCGGAGCCCCACCTCGACCACGGTGGCACCTCTGTTTCGCACGCCGTCGCCCTCAATGCCTCCCTACGCCCAGCATGACTATCGTGGCGGCCGTGCTAGTAACACTAGCGAGCCCGCCACCTCAGCCGAGTCAAGCCCCGGGGCCCACAGCTGCAAGCGTGCCTGGCGGGAAAAGTTCGGGTCGCACGACGCACACCGCTATGGACCCAGCCAGAGTGCATGGCCATGGTCGGGGACCAATCTCAACTCGCCTGCTAGTGCGCCGCGTACGCCGGAACATCCGGGGCCCGGGCATCGCGGCACGTCGGGCGCCGACGATAATTTTGCGCGCCTGAAGTACTGCCCGCCGCCGCCGCGCGGGCCGCCGGATACACCGTCTCCGCGCAACTCGCCGACTAAAGGCGCGCGAGGGCGACCATCTCGCCCTTAATGCGCGTGGATGGCGGGTGCCTCGGGGACGTCGAAGATTTCGGCCATGATCTCATGCACAGAATGTCCCCAGAATGGCGAACGTTGATGTCACCATTCTAGTCGTTCAACACAGTTTCATTACCGGTCGGCGGTAACCACCGAATATGAATAGCACGACTAAAAGTACATTGATCTTACTTACGCTTCGCATCAAATCGGAAAATACTCGGATCCAATCGCTGATTCGCTACTTCACAACCTTAGTGCCGACCCGGGATATGCGTGCGGCAGGTGCCGAACCTACTCACAACCAAACAGCCAGCAACCTACTCACAACCAAACAGCCAGCTGTAGCCCCCGAATTGGAAGTCGATTAAGTTACCGAAACGCGACCCAGAGGTTCGGCAATCACTCCTGCTAATGGATGACGAAACACCATCTTCACTGCTGATGCACACAGCCAGTTGTCTCCAACCCGGTAGCGATGCCGAGCTGTTCATCTCATCTGCTGTGTATGCAAGCCGGTGCTCGCCACTGATTGTTTCTGTCGCACACTACTTTGAGCAACATTTTTGCTTTAAATAGCGGCGAGCGTCACCCCGTGTTGTGTTGCCACAGCACCGCAGTAATATCCGGCGGGATAGCATCTCGTGCCACGCCTTACATATGCATTCACACCTGTTTCTTTCCTTCCCCTCCCCTCCATACTCCCATCCGTGATGGTGCGGACTAATGTCATTCGCTCGTGAGTCTCTTTTCATTAGGCGCTCGACCGCGATCTGAGCAAGCGCGCGTCTTCACGCAGATTATTATGTATTTTATGGGTATTTTTTAGTACTGTATATGCGGGCTTCATACCAGCCACAATGTGCGCTACTCGCCGATATATGCTTAAATCGGACTAACCAACTATAGTAGTGGATCCTCTAGTATTGTATACCCAACGCATATTCAGTACGTTTGCATCTTTTCGTCCGGCCATAAAATTTTAACCCCCGCACTCCTCCTAGCTCAAACCATATATCACTCCTTTCATTGTCTTGCGCGCCAGTAAGGTAATC